TACGCATGGGTCAGAGTTTGCGTGCAGGTGCGCAAATTTTCCCGTAAAGTTTGTTTTTTATAAATCCCACCTTTTCCCACCTTTTCATTCTACATCCTTAATTATTGCCTCTTTTTCAAGTATTATGTAAATACATATGCATATCTCTTTATTTATACAGTTCTATATAGAGTAAATAATGCACAAATCTGTACATAAATCTACTGTTCCAGATTCATACACTATTTATTGTTAAGTTTTTACTATTTAAATGTTTTTTTTTTTCTGTTCTCATGTCAGATATGTATGTATGTATGCATGTATGTATGTACCAGGAGCACCTTAAAATAAACACAACAAATTCCTCGTGTGTTTGCACACACCTGTCGAATAAAGCTAATTCTGATTCTGATTCCGATTCTTTTGCGTAGGAAGTGGCGTACGCCTCTTTCAGGGCAGGTTTTGTGCGTAAGAGTTATAGACTAGTTAAGAGTAAGAGTTATAGACTAAAGGTAAGAATTGTAGAATAAAGGTAAGAGTTGTAGATTACTGGTAAGAGTTGTAGACTAAAGGTAAGGTTTATAGAGTACAGGTAAGTCCTGTGAAATGCATGTAAGATTTGTAAAGTACAGGTAAGAGTTGTAGACTGAAGGTAAGGGTTGTAGAGTACAGTTAAGAGTTGTAGAGTAGCAGGTAAGTCCTGTGAAATACAGGTATGAGTTGTAGAGTACAGGTAATAGTTGTAGACTGAATGTAAGGGTTGCAGACTACAGGTAAGTCCTGTGAAATACAGGTAAGAGTTGTAAGTACAGGTAAGTCCTGTGAAACACAGGTAAGAGTTTAAAGTACAGGTAAGAGTTTTAGACTAAAGGTAAGGGTTGCAGAGTACAGGTAAGTACTGTGAAATACAGGTAAGCTTGAGTACAGGTAAGAGTTGTAGAATAACGGTAAGGGTTGTAAAGCACAGGTAAGTCATTTCAAATACAGGTAAGAGTTGTAGACTAAAGGTAAGGGTTGTGAAATACAGGTAAGAGTTGTAGAATACAGGTAAGTCCTGTCAAATACAGGTAAGAGTTGTAGAATACAGGTAAGTCCTGTCAAATACAGGTAAGAGTTGTAGAATACAGGTAAGTCCTGTCAAATACAGGTAAAAGTGGTAAAGTAGAGGTAAGAGTTGTAGATTAAAGGTAAGAACTGTAGACTAAAGGTAAGAGTTGTTGAGTACAAGTGGCTAGGGCTGCACGATTAATCGAATGCGATTGCCACGGGCATTTTGTCAGTAAAGCCGGTTCTGTAATCAGCAGTAAATCTCCATCACCTGCTTTCAGATGGAGCAGCATTTACTACACAGAGCCGTAGTTCACTGACAAGTTACGCAAAA